CCATAAAGCACACTAGGTTACTTTGGGTAGTTACTGGTGCTCAGTCTAACTTGCCTCACAGGGATGTGAAAATAAAATGGAGAGGAGGAAGATCTTAAATTCCTTGCAAGAGGAAGAATGCAGGATATAAATATAATAAGAAATGAAATAAAATGAAACAAATATAAATGTGTAAAGAAAAACTGCATAAGAGGGTCGTCCTAATTAGGGCATACTCAGTTATCAGACATTTGTGTAGTGCTGCCTTTAAGTAAAAAGCAACAAAAATCCAAGCTATGTTTTTTATCCTAAGGAAGGTAGCCAGGTAATAGCAACATATCTTTTCTTTTAATGTGAACAAGCTGTAAATGTGTATTGAGAGGGCAATGAGACTTATTTTTGCCAAGGTTCTGGAGTTTATCCTATCAGGAATTGCCAGTTTGGTTAACAGCCAAAGTTGTTCTCTTAGTGGGGTGCATACTCTTGCCTGCAGGAACCGCCGTCAGAATATGCCAATAATCCGAGGCAAGAATGGGAAATGTTTTCTCTTTTTTGCAATCATGTTTAGTGGTTTTGCAAGAATTCAGTTAGCAAATCCTAGGGAAAGAACAGAAAGCTGTAATACCACATTTTCCTACTACAACAGGTTTGGCCTGGAGAAAGTAGTAGGTTCAGAAGAGGCCAAGAAGGCCATTGGGTCCAACCTCCTGCTTTTGCAGGACGTCAAGTCACACCATTCCACTCAGATGACTGTCCAGTTTTGTCTTGAATGTATCTAGCCCACAGCCTCTCTTGGCAACTGGTTCTACTGTTGCATTGCTCTGACAGTTAGAACGTTTTTCCTGGTGTTTAGCCAGAATCTGGTGTGCTGCAGTTTAAGTTTGTTGATCCATGTCCTACACTCAGGGATGAATGAGAAGAGGTATTTTCCTTCCCCTTGTGACAGCCTTTGAGGTACTTGTAGAGTGCTATCATATCCCCTCATCTTCTCAAAGCTAAACATGCCTTGCTCTCTCAGACTCCCATCATAGGGCTTAGATCATCCAGATCCTAGATCGTCTTTCTTGTCCTTCTCTGAACCCTTTCTAGTTTTTCTGCATCTTTTAAAAGCATGGGTGCCCAGAACTGAACACAGTATTCCAGGTGAGGTCTGACTACTGCAGAATAAAGAAGAACTAGTATTTCACTTGTTTATAACTGATGCGTCTATTTATGCATCCCAAAATAGCATCTGTCCTTTTTGTGGCTGCATCACATTTCTGGCTCATATTTAGCTTGTTGTCTACAAAAACTCCAAGGTCTTTTAATTTTTCAGTGCTGTTGAGTCAAATATTCCTAATCTTGTATTGATACATTGAGTTTTTTCTCCCTAGATGAAAAACTCAGCATTTTTTCCCTGTTGAATTTCATTCTGTTGCTCTCTGCCCATCATTGTAGCTTGTCTAGGTTACCCTGGTTCTTTGTTTTGTCTTCCAGGATGTTAGCTATACTGCCTAGTTTTGTGTCTTCTGCAAATTTAATTATTGTTCCCTGGACTTCATCATCTACATTATTAATAGAGATGTTGAAGAGCACTGGTCCCAGGACTGACCCCTGTGGCACTCATTATCTCTCTCCAGCTTGAGAAGGTGAAGTTGATAAGCACTCTCTTTGTGGTCAGTTTTGAATTCACCTAATTGTAGTTCAGTTGATCCCATGTTTGCTAATTTGTTTATCAGGATGTCATGGTGCACTTTGCTGAATGCTTTGCTAAAGTCTAAGTAAATTAGGTTCACAGCATTCCTGCTGTCCCTTGGGTGGTTACCCAGTCAAAAAAATGAGATTAGGTTAGTTTAGCAAGACTTATTCTTAAGAAATCCATGTCAACTTCTGTTCATCCCTGTATTTCCTTCAAGGTGCTTGCAGACTGATTTTTTAAAAATAATTTGCTCCAGTATTTTCCCAGAGGATTCATGTTAGACTGACTGGTCTATACTTTCCGATTATTTTTCTCCTTTTCTTGTAGATGGGGACATCAGCTCTTTTCCAGTCATCTAGCACTTCCCCTGATTTCCAAGATTTCAATTATAGATAGTGGTTCAGAGAGTTCTTCCAGCTCTAGGGTGGTGCTCATCAGGTCCTGGAGATTTGAATACATTAAGCTCATCAAGTTGCTCCTTGACTATTTTTCTGTTGATTTTAGGCTGCCATCCTGCCCTTTAGTCTTGTACTTCCTCCTCAGTAGGTAGGTCGTATTTTCTCTTGTGGGAGGAGTGTGTGAGCCAAAGCAGGAGTTAAACTCCTCTGCCCTTTCCTTGGCATCAGTTACCTTTTTGCCATCTATATTGAGTTGTTGAACTCCTTTCTCTTTCATTTGTTTTTCGTTTTGGATGTAAGTGAAGATTTTTTTGTTGTTTACAGCAAACCCTTGCTAGCATCAGTTCATAACCTGCTTTAGCCTTCCTGACTCCATTCCTGCAAGTCTTTGCTGTCTGTTTATACTCTTCTTTTTGTGGCCTGGCCTCCCTTTCACTTCCTGTACATGTCCTTTTTTGCTTTCAAGTTGTCTCTTAACTTTTTGTGGAGCCATGGGGGTTTCCTCTATTGTAACTGGGAAGTAGTCAGTAGTGTTAAGAACTATAACTATGACAATATTGGGAATAAGCTCTCTCAACTTGTAAAGGAAGCGGCCAACAGGTTGAGATAATTGAGGTTCTCAAGAGCATAGAGCAATGTTAATGTTTTGGAGTGGTTTGATACATTTTATCCATGTCAAAATGCAGTTATCTATTCCAGGAAAAGGAGAGAGGGGTAGGGAGACTCAGATAAGAATGTAAGAAGAGCCATGCTAGATCAGACTGAAGGTCACACTGGTGTAGTGGAACCAAGGCTTGCAGGAATGCAGTGTCAGCATTTTTACTGGCAGGGATGCTGAGGTCATTTGCCAGCCTCCTCTGATTTTCTTGTTCCCTCCCAGTTGCAATCCTTGCAGGAGAAAGGGTGAGGAAATTCATTTTCTCAGCAGCAAGATAAAGATGTGCCATGTTATGGAGTAGCTCCCCAGCAACCAGCATTTAGATACATAGATAAAATTTGACCATCATAATTCACATCCATTCATAGCCTTAACCTTCATGAATGTGTCTATTCTCTCTTTAAAGCCATCTGAATTGGTCCATGTTCTGGCAGTAGCAAATCCCATAGTTTATATATAGGTAGGCTATGACCCAATCTGTAACTTGCATTCCTCTGCTCCCCTTCCCAATTATGGCTAGCATTTTCCTTTCAGGAAATAGATCCTTAGGCAACACTGACTGTGGCTGGTGATACATCAGTGCATTTGAACCTAGACCTGCCAAAATCACATGGAAAGTGAGGAGGGGCCCAGTCAAAGAAGCAAAAAGGGTACACAAGTGAAGGAATTGAGCCCACAGGAATCAATTGCGTGTGACTGATTCTTTGTAAATGAAGGAAGAGGCATTTTTCTCCCAATTATGTATGGTTCTGGTAAAGTGTGGGAAGAGGGGCTTTGGAAGAGTACACTGTGGCAAGGGAATGGTTTCAGCTTCCTCCAAAAGGGATTCACATGTCCAAACAATATTTGTATGTTTAAAGGGCTGTTTATTTCAGTGATTTTCTCTTAGAAGAAAAGTCCTCTATTTGAAGGTATGTTCTATTTGAAGAACTCTCCTGTCCAATTCTGGTGTAAAGATAACTTTAATAATGGTTGCCCATCCATAGTTAGTACCTGAGCAGCAGACTGATGTGACAGACACACAGGCCACACCTGTTTATAATATCTTCCACCTTATGGTAAGAGGTACCATATCTCCATTTAAAACATAATGGCCATGTCTTCATTTGTAAAAGCAAGAAAATAAGAAGAGAGTTGATAAGGGATCTCTGAGGTCTCTTACCTTCTGTAAATTTGAGAAACTGCCATGGGTACCACCACAAAATCAGTTGGTCACCACTTTACTGTCTGCGTGTTACAGCTATAGATCCTAAGCTTATTTTTGCATCTTATTCAGCAAAAAGGTTTGCTTTGAGTCTATTGGACATTACAATATCTCTTTAATTTGGATTGTCTAATTCAGCTAATTGCGAATGATATGATCTAGTTAAAGCTTTTTTTGGAGCATATGTTTTGGGAATCCCTAATAGTGGCTTCTTTTGCAGGGGAGGTTCTTATATAGATGAATTTTGTACAGGAACAGTCTTTAATATTTGCTCTTTTAAATTATTTATCTGCTTTGTGGAATTGAACAAATGGTCATTGTAAATGGATTTTCTGCATTATGATAGTCACATCCCATAATGCAATGGATTGAGGACTTGTCAGTTTTTTCTATATAGGAACAAGTAGCATACTGATGCCACCTTCAGCTGAATAGTTTTTATAGATGCCTGGTTTAAAATTATTTGAGCCTATTTATAATTACTGGCAAGTTGCATGTTTTTCATACAAATCCATCTGTGCATATTTATAAACGGGGAGATTAGAAAAGCAAAAATTGGATATCCCAAAGTATTAGAAAAATATAATTTTTGCAAAATTCAGGAAGCAATGTTGTCCCATGGCTTCAACATTTCCAAAAATCTTCCATCTCCAGATAGTTTTCCACAATTCTGTTCTGATGTGCAAGTGAGTACAGGGAAGCCTCCTCGAGCACATAGTTGCATTAGTCATGGGGAGCTGGATGTGTGAACTGCTACAGTTACACCTAGGCTTTCTCTGAATCGCTCCCTGTTAGCTGTAAGGGGAGTCATGAGTTTATTAAAATATAAACTGAAGCAAGCAGCAAATTTTGAACAGTAAGAATTGAAGGTAATGAAGCAATGCACCTATCTCTGAAACAAGCACCCTCTGGACATGACCTAAAAAGTCACAAAGGCACAGAGCTTTGTATGGATTAACATCTTCACTGAGTTCTCTTAATGAAACTTTAAGCACAAGCTGATAGCATTAGCTAGATCAGTATATGTGGGTCCAAGGAGCACCAAATGTATCTTTCCTAATCTTGTTGTTTACTACTGCCTAGGCCAAATGTCTGTGGGGGACAATGCTGTTCAGGCTGGACAACAGCGCCTGGGACAAATCGATGTATTAAACGTAAGTATGAACAAAAACAAATGCATTTTCCTAATGATTATTGTATACTATATAATATATCAGTGTACATAGTGCACATGAACAAAACAACAAATTAAGCCAAATTGCTGCCTCATGGACTTTGCATTCTCAATGTCCATAATGAATCCAGGGACAAGGGACTTACGTAGAGGCAGAGACAACTGAAGCTGATGGAGCGTTGCCGACTCTGTCAGTGTAATGCCTTGAATCAGCGTATAATAATTACTAAACCATGGTAGCCGTCAGCAGTGGCAGACCAGGGGAATTATGGGGCCAGTGCAGACAGTGGAAGAAGTTCATACAAGACGATGATGCCTGCAGTGGTTCTGCTTCTTACAATTCTGGTGCTGCCCTCCCCTACTGAACTGCAAGAGCAGGATAGCTGGTACTCCCAGGGCCTCTAGAGCTATCGGTCAAAAATGCAGCATGCAACAGTTCTAACTGTCTCTTAGTCTTGAAAGGATTTTCTATATTTACAAAAAGATAGAAAAAGTGGTGGGAAAACATGGATTACAAATAGAAGACAGTGACATCTGGTCTCCCATAAACCTGTGTGAGTGAGGTAGGGTGATGGCATGATAAAAGCCTCATCTGGCAGCACCCTGATAAGCAGGAGCACAGGCAGGTTTTTGTGAAGAAGGATGATGTCACATGTTATATGGACAATTTTTGCACAAAGTGATGATTCTGATTGGTTCCAGAACATGTGGAATTTTTACTGCTAGCTCATTAAAATTAGTTAAAAGGCTGCATTGGCGGAAGCAAGGATGTGATAATCCATCTTTTATGGGGCACGGCTGCACTAAGGGGAGATAATATGAGAGATCTTAGGCCTTTGTTTTATTGCCAGTTAGTTACTTTTCTGATCACTGATCTTTTAAGGAGGATCAAGCAGAAAGGTTTATTCTGAAGCTGACTTGCTGTGCTTCCTCTTCATAGCTCCAATGAGAATCTCATTGTGGGAACTTTATTTCTCTCTCTTCAAATATTACTTCAGAATTCCTCTCTAAATTTAAATATTGGATCTTGTAAGCTGGGCCCTCCCACATGGTCATTTGCCTCTGGTATATGAATAGGAATAGAGTGCAGTGATTTACAAGGAAACAGAACCATGGAGAGGCTCAGATGACATCATTATCCATATGAGCTGGAAACCCTGGGATGCAATTAATTACATTGTAAATCAAAGCAACTTGTTCATTGCGAGTTCATATTGTCTCCTGCCATGCTTTTTAGTTTCTGACCACAGCAGTCCTTTAAAACCAAAGAAGAATGATAAAGAATACTGAATCTAACTAGCATTCATACCCAACACTCACTGCCTTTTTGGTCCCTACTTCTATGCATAACAACTTGACTGAATAATTCCAACCTGATGCTCAGAGTAAAGTTTTAAAACTTTTGATCTAAGGGAGTTTGAAATGTTACATTGTTCTTTACAATGCTGCAAGGAAAACTGAAAAAGTTATATCACAGAGGAAGAGAGAGAGAACTATTAGCTATTTGATGTTTATATGGATGCTTTGTTTCTAGTGACAAAATATCTCACTAGCTGCATTTGGTTTGTTTGTGATTCTTAAATTCTATTTTTGTATGTTACTTCTGTCCGTAAAATTCTAATTAGTCTATTAGTGTTTATTGCAAGCCCGGTTCTACCACTACACAGAGTGAAGCAGTTGCCTCAGGTGAGAGAATTGGAGTAGTATGGAAGGAGTTGTTCCCTCTGTTAAGACAGAGCTGTGATGTGCAGGCAGTCTGCACTGCATCCCCTAAGCCAGAGGTATAGAACTGTTTTAGGATGGGGAGCTTCTCCCACAAAGTACTTTGCAGGTTTTGATATGCATGGACAGTATCTCTCCACCCTTGTCTAGTTTGCCTTCCTCTGTCCTGGAAGAGGCATGGGATTCTTTGCCTTTCCCAGCACAGAAAAAGGGATTTAACTAGAACTGAAAGGAGCAGACACCACTCCTGGCACTAGCTGAATCTCCCTTTCTGTGTGGCACACATCATTCCTATTGTCCTTGTGGAGCTGCTTGGAAAGCACTGGAATGAGCAGCTGTTCTTCCCAGTACAGACTAAGCCTCTGGCTTTGCATGCTATGCATTGTCCCCCTACTCAGCCAGTGTTGGGAAGCGTGGCTACCCATGCAACCACCAATCAAGTTATCTGCTGCCCACATCCTGCTATTATCTCTTTTATTCTTCTTTTATTGGCCATGTACCTAAATCCTTACAGCATGCATCATCCACCACTTGTCTGGCCGTGGGAAGAGGAGGCTCATCCAGCAAGGACCAAGTGCCTGGCCACCCACATTCCCACTGTTATCTTCAATCTGAGATGAAAGTTAACAGCAGTAGTTTCTCAAGGGGATGAGGCTTGGAGACTCAGTCCTACCGCTTGGAGGAACCCAAGAAAGCTTTATGGATTAGATGGAGGCTCTTGTTCCATCATAAGTGTTGATCTAAGAGTCACCTGCCAGAACAGTCAGCTTTTTAAAGAAGAATGGTGTGTCAGTGGGGAAAAAATGACTTGGACTAGCTCTGATTTAATGTGTCGTATAAACTTGAAAAACCCAAAATAACCACATTTAAACAAAAGATTCACCTGGATCCCAGCCCAACATCAGTGATCACTCTTAAATGCCACTCCAGAATTAATTTAAAATTGAAGTGATTTCTCAGAATATTGGCTGTCTGTATTTAAATTGTTGTACTGTTATATATATATAATGCTGTATATAGATCAGGAGTCCCCAGTGTAGTACCAGCAGGCCAAATGTATGGAATGCATACAATTTTCCAGCAATTATACATAGACTTCAACAAAAGCAGACCAAATATTCAAGTAAGTATGTACTTGAAATTGATGTCTATATGTCACCTGTCTATATATCAAAAGTGTTGTAAGGTCCTCAGTCCAGTGTTTTCCTTTCAGTTTAGTAACTTGAGTCTTTCAGCTAGCAAGAGTGTAGAAAATTCATTTTCCCTTCCATTTGTTAATTTCTCTGAAACAGATAAATAAATTAAAAGGATATGTACATCAATGAGTGCTAAAGACTATTCCAATACTGCTTGTATCTAATGTTCGTCCATCGTTTTCGAATAGGACCTTGACATCTAACGAGTTGTGGGCCATCCACGGTGTGTCCGCAGGTGGCTGGTAAGGCCGATACAGGCACGGAATGTTCTGCCACATGTCAGGCAGACATGGGTGGGCACCACTGTTGCAGCATTTGCCACTCTGGCTTTAGGGAGTGCTCGCTTCCCTTGTGCTGTGGTTGTCCTTCTAGCTTCAGATGTTTGACAGCCTTGGTGGATCAGTGTGTGTCCTGTCGATTGATCTTGTGCCAGGGTCTCCCAGGAGGTGGTGTCAATATCCAGGGACTTGAGAGAGGCTTTCAGCATGTCTTTGTATTGCTTCTTTTGTCCCCCATGCAATTGCTTTCCTTGAGACAGCTCACCGTAGAAGAGCTGTTTGGGGATGTGATCGTCTGGCATCGTTGCAACATGGCCTGCCCAGTGTGTCTGGGCTTTCATCAGCAGGGTGTGTACTGACAGCAGGCTTGCTCTGGAGAGGACTTTTGTGTCTGGCACCTTGTCCTGCCACCGGATCCTCAGAAGTCTGTGGAGGCAAGTTGTGTGGAAGTGGTTCAGTTGCCTAGCATGCCTCCTGTATACAGTCCAAGCCTCACTGGCATACATCAGGGTAGTTAGCCCTACTGCTCGGTGGATGCTAAACTTTGTAGCAAGGCTTATTTCACAGCGGTCCCACACTTTAGTCAGCAGTCCGCCAAATGCAGAGCTTGCCTTAGTGATTCTGCAGTTGACCTCAATGTCAATTGTCACTGCACAGGAGAGGGTGCTGCCAAGGTATGTACATTGGTCCACTGCTTGCAGCTTTTGTCCCTTCACTATGATGGTGGGCTGTTGGTGTTGGGCTTTCAGAGCTGGCTGGTGCATCACTTTGGTTTTCTTTGTGTTGATGAGGAGGCCGAAGTTGTCGCATGCTGCTGCAAATTTGTCCATGCTGGCTTGCATTTCCTACTCAGATCCAGCATTCAGGGCACAGTCGTCAGCTAAAAGGAGGTCTCGTAGCACAGTCTCCTTTATCTTGGTGACAGCCTGGAGTCTTCGCAGGTTGAACAGTTTCCCATCGGTCCTGTATTTCAGGCTGACTCCCAAGAAACTGTTCTGAAAGGCGTCTGACAGCGTGGCTGAAAACATTATGCTGAATAGGGTCGGTACCAGCACGCACCCTTGTTTGACGCTATTTGTGACGGGAAAGGCCTCTGAAGCTTCTCTGTCATCCAAAACACGAGCTGTCATGCCATCGTGGAACTGATGTACCATCAGGATGAAACTGTCAGGGCACCCAAACTTCGACATGATGCGCCACAGACCTTCACGACTGACAGTGTCAAAATCCTTGGTGAGATCCACGAAGATGGTATACAGTTCACGATTCTGCTCTTGACTTGTATCTACATGACAGATGCCAAAGTGTTGATCTGCTATTTTGTGGTAGTGCCTATAGTACTTTTTCAGATTCCCCAATGTGCCCTTGATCCAATTAGGATGGAGACCCTTGAAATAGATGGTCAACATTCATAGCAGTTGCACAGTGATGTGAGAATATTGTGCATAATGGCTAAAATAACCTAGAATTGCTAGGGCTACCTAGAATTGTTGTTTCAATTTTTTTTAATGCTGGAAACCTCACAGGACAGTGTGTATGTGTGGGAGTGAGGGAGATTTATCCTGGCTGTTGTATACATACATGGATGTGTGATGCAGCTTCCCAATGTTTTTAATGATTTAAATCAACTGATGTGAACCAACATTCCTCCTTCGATCAATCACCAGCCACAGACTGTTTTCCTTACAACCTTCTTTATTTCTTCCAAGTACAAATGACTCAGAATGGATCTGTGAATACGAACAGAGTGGTTTGTTGAACTCAATCTAGTGTTTACCTCCAGG